ATATGTACTTTGAATGCATCTCCTAAGCAGTCATTTTAATATTGTTATTTATATTTCTGAAATATAAAGTGTTTAAAGTGAATTATGGTTATAGACAATTTTTTTAAATCCTGCATACATTATGACTAGTACATTAAAATTATTTATACTTATTTATATAATATCCAAAAAAAATACTACCAAATTGTAACATGCATCCAACATACATATTGCTTTATCCAATAGGGATAGTTATAGGTAAGCATAATTTTAGTGTCTTTCATTTACTAAATTGGAATGCTGCCCTTCCAGGACAAATAGACAGGTGATATGGTCACCCAAAAACCATAATAGCCCTTCAGTTAGTTATGTGGCAAGCTCACATATATTCTACTATGTGAACAAAGTCAGATTCAGTTCCTAATTTTAAAAAGTGCTGGTGAATTGTCAGTTGTATTTCAATATGGAACCCCCATTCAATGGCTAGGAGATGAGAGCAGCAGAGATGAAAGAGAAACCTTATACAGTTCTGCTGAGAATATGCTTTTTTTCTTCATAATGCTCATGTTTCTCATGCCAAGAGTAGCTGTGCATTAGGGGTAGTTTGAGAGAAACTCCTTTTAGGGGAATATTTTCTGGCTGACTTGATCAATCATATCTAATCTGAGTTTTTTCTCAAGATACATTTAACTTCTTTTTTCTCTCAATATAACTTTGCAATAGAATCAGACTGAGAGCTGTTCTTCTCTTCAATGCTTTGGATGTCTGTTTTAGAAGCCCTAATACAATCCCTTGGTGTTGACGTAGAGGTGGGTTTTCACAGGGAGAACCATCCTATCTCTATCTGGACTCATGCTGGAAATCCAGCAGTATTTTTTTCAAGTCACCATAACAAATTGAAACTGAGGCTGACACACCGCTCCCATTCCCGTTATTATGAAGGTGCAATTCTACCCCCAAATCCTGTAGGCTCTCCTGTACCATAGTCTTCAGTCTCTGAGGAGGTACTGGAGTGCTGCTGTGGCAATTGGGGTTCATTTAAGATGTAAGCTGCCAGCTGTGAGCTCTGTGCTTTGGAGTGTGCCTCACTGGCAGATGGTAGGAGTCAAGAGAGGACACTAGCCACAAGTAGAGGGCAAGCAGGAGTGCTGAAGCTGAGTGCTCAGAACGTAGAGAGCCATTGCTTTAAAGTGTAAATAACCAAAAAGATAGCACCCTATTCAACTATTGTAGTAGGAGATTGAGAGTCTACCTTCAGCAGGCACCTGGCTTCAAGTCGCACAACTACCTCCTGTCATGAAGATGTGAAAAGTTTATTTTGTCATTGATTATAACCAATTAGCATACACAGGTGGCATCCCCAGTGACCAGGTGAATTTAGGATGAGCTATGTATGACATGGTGCTGTAAATTCTTCTACTTGTGGACTAATTATGATGACCGTCTTTCTGTCTTTGCAGTCTCTTAAGCAGATTGATTGTGATGCATGTCACATTCTGGTTTAATTGTGTAATAAAACAGTTTTCTTTCTGTCCTATCATTGTGAAGTTTTTCTGGGGCTAGAGAGAATTTCTCTTGTTATACTTTCCAAACACAGTCTAGAATTACCAGACATGATATAAACATATAAGGTGCTAACCAGGCTTTATTCTAGAAGGGTCTTTCCCTCTCAGGCTTCCAATCAACTCACAATTGTGCTGCAAAGTGCATGCTCTTCCCTGAATATGCAGGAAGAATTGCGTCTCTGCCTATTTGGTATCTATTGTCCTCTACAGTCACTTCCAGAGAGGCTAGATCAGATTTCTACAAACCTTACAGGGCAGCAATCAACCGTTTTACCTCTTTCAGTGACTTTTTTGTTGTTGTTGTTGAGTTGGAGTCTCGCTCCATTGCCCAGGCTGGAGGGCAGTGGCATGATCTCAGCTCACTGTAACCTGCATCTCCTGGGTTCAAGCGATTTTCCTGCCTCAGCCTCCCAAGTAGATGGGATTACAGATGTGCACCACCAAGCCTGGCTAATTTTTTTTTTTTTTGTATTTGTAGTAGAGTTGGGGTTTCACCAAAGGCTGGGCACGGTGGCTTACTCCTGTAATCCCAGCACTTCGGGAGGCCAAGGTGGGCAGATCATTTGAGGTCAGGAGTTTGAGACCAGCCTTACCAACATGGAGAAATCCTGTCTCTACTAAAAATACAAAAAATTAGTCAGGCGTGGTGGTGCATGCCTGTAATCCCAGCTACTTGGGAGGCTGAGGCAGGAGAATCACCTGAACCCGGGAGGAGGAGATTGCAGTGAGCTGAGATTGCGCCACTGCACTCCAGCCTGGGCAACAAGAGCAAAACTCCATCTCAAAAAGAAAAAGAAAAGAGAAGAAAAGAAGAAAAGGATTTGCATTTCTTATATAACAGGTGTTTTTTTTGTTGTTGTTGTTGTTTTGTTTTTGTTTTTGTTTTTTTTTTGAGACAGAGTTTCGCTCTTGTTGTCCAGGCTGGAGTGCAGTGGCACCAACTCGGCTCACCACAACCTCCACCTCCCAGGTTCAGGTGATTCTCCTGCCTCAGCCTCTCGGTAGCTGGGATTACAGGCATGCACCACCATGCCCGGCTAATAATCCTTTTCTTTATAAGTCTCAGAGAGACATTAAAATGAGGCTACAATTATGTCTTTTTTCTTTGAGCTATGTATTTACCTCTGGAAACTGCTTGGTATTGCCACAAGTAGCTATAAATTGAACTACTAATGCCACACTGGACACTATAACCCACACCCTGTAGCCTAACAATGTATATCCAATCAATAATCAATTTATTTTTGTAAATAAAAAAAAATTTTGACAGACAACTTTGTATCAATCCACTCTATGTGCCTCTCTTTTTGCCTTTACAAATCCACTTGTAACTGCTGCTAATCAAAGTATATGTTCCAGGCAACTTGAATCTTTGCTCCCAGGTTACAATCCTCAAGTTTGGCCCAAATAAATTGTATACTTATATTCATGTTTTCTCAGCTATTTCCTTTTAGGTAAACATCATTTGGAATGTGCCAGAGCAGCCTCTGAGGGGATCTCTCCTTTGATAGTACTTTGCTTTCTGTAACACCTAAGGATGCAGAGTTAGGTTGATCCCACTTAGAATCTGCACATAAGATCTGGCTTCTGCCTGGGATTACAAGACAGGGCCAGACTTTGAATTGGGAATGTACTGAAAACCAATAGAAGGCATTTTCTGCATTGTGAGATGTCAACATAGACATCCTACAGCTCCCTTTGAGACTGTGGCTCTTTGAGCTTTTCAGATTTTGTCCAATAAGATCTTGTAGCAGGTCTGCCACAGTTATGTGAGAGGATCCAGATGTAAATAGAATCTGATAGCAAATTCTGTAAATAAAAATAAATATCTTAGGAGTGAGAGATCAAGACCACAAAGTATCCAGAGCCACGACCACAACTATACCTGCCTGTAAAATGTTATGTACAATATTCTTGTCCTTCCTCCTACCCAAAAGCTAGTTAATCAGAACAAGTAATTCTGGAGCTCAATCAGGGCAGTTCCATTTTCTATTTAGAATTAGTTTGATTCTCTGTAGCCTAGCTTATTATTGGACCCTCAGCCCAGGGTCACTGGGAACCCTCTCACAATGTTGTAGGCATTTTTTTGAGACATTTGAGGATGTCCAGAGCAGAATTGTATCAGGCTGACAAGAGTGGTTAATTCTGCTTTTGTCTCATTGTAAGAGAAATGAGTCATCCTGTGTTTGTTCCTTCCCTTATACAAGGCATGTTTTCCGTTGGTACCCAGATGAGAGTTTCTCCAGTTTTCTGGTACTTGGGTAAAAACAAGGAGGAGATCTGGAGACTCAAGCAGATAAACTGATTGCTGTAATTTTATATGGCCATTAGAAAAATAGATGAAGCAGTCATGGTTTCTATAATCCAGGAACTCTTAGTCCAGACTAGCAACTGAAAAAATGGTTGTATTAAGTATCATTTGGTTGGTACAGCAAATAGATGTGTGAAAAAATCGTGAGCTTCATTTGGGCCACTTGTTGTGGCTTCTGATGTCATCACCTGAAGGGATATTTATGGACAGAAGCATTATTATTTTTTGATTTCTTTTACCTTGATAAGAATACACATTTATCTTCTAATAATATTACCCTGGAAAACTTTAAGATATTTGTTTAAATTGCTTATTAGTATATGTTATAAAATTGACAGGGCAGTGGATAGAAAAGATTAAAATTACACAAACACTGGGATTTAAGTTTCTCTTAGGTAAGCTTAGGAAAAACAGAACTTGAAATACCCCAGTGGCATAGAGAACAGAATTCTACAGAGGGTCTCTCCTTTCCCCAGTTCTGTTCAGATTCACCCTTTTTGAGGACCTTGTTTAGATCTCACCCAGCCCTGGAGTCTTGCCTGTATATATAGCTATAAAAAATGTACATGTTTGTGTCCATGCCCTTAAGTTTATACTTTATGATTCAGAAAAGTAACATATATACCCCAATGCTGTGGATCTTATTCTAGTCTCTTCTCAGAGTTAGAGAATACATTAGAGAATATTTCTGGGTTGAAATTTTTTTTTTTTTTTTTTTATGAGACGGAGTCTTGCTCTGTCACCCAGGCTGGAGTGCAGTGGCCGGATCTCAGCTCACTGCAAGCTCCGCCTCCCGGGTTCACGCCATTCTCCTGCCTCAGCCTCCCGAGTAGCTGGGACTACAGGCGCCCGCCACCTCGCCCGGCTAGTTTTTTGTATTTTTTTAGTAGAGACGGGGTTTCACCGTGTTAGCCAGGATGGTCTCGATCTCCTGACCTCTTGATCCACCCGCCTCGGCCTCCCAAAGTGCCGGGATTACAGGCTTGAGCCACCGCGCCCGGCCTGAAAATTATTTTATTGGATAATTTCAGTCATTCCTATAAGTCAGAACCAGTTCTATTTACTCTCTCATTTCACCTTGAGTCAAGTTAAAAATTCTGTCCATAACCACTTGGTAAATATGTGTGTGTGTATGTGTTTTTCAGGGACTATTGACATTTATGGATGTGGCTGTAGAATTCTCTCTGGAGGAGTGGCAGTGCCTAGACACAGCACAGCAGAATTTATATAGGAATGTCATGTTAGAGAACTACAGAAACCTGGTATTCCTGGGTGAGGATAAGTTTTTTTTTAAATTATCATTATTATTATTATTATTATTTTGAGACAGAATTTCATTCCGTTGCCCAGGCTGGAGAGCAGTGGCACGATCTCGGCTCACTGCAACCTTTGCCTCTAGGGTTCAAGTGATTCTCCTGCCTCAGCCTCCTGAGTAGCTGGGATTATAGGCGTGGGCCACCATGTCCGGTTAATTTTTGTATTTTTAGTAGAGACGGGGTTTTACTATGTTGGTCAGGCTGGTCTCGAACTCCTTACCTCAGGGTCCGCCTGCCTCAGCCTCCTAAAGTGCTGGGATTATAGGTGTGAGCCACTGCGCCCTGCGGGTGAGGATAACTTTAATACACAATTCCTGATATACTCTAAAGGTTTCATTTCTGTTTTTTGCTGCATTTTTTTGGCAATTTATGCTTTACATAAATGAGTTTCAGATACCTGTTTTTAAGAAAATGTAGGATTTATCTGTGTAGATGTTTCACCCTGACCTGAACTTTCCACCTTTCTGAGCTGATCTGTATCCTTCACTCTAGATTAGTGGTAATTCCAGAAATTTAGTGGCATAAAATACCGTTGCCCACACCTTAAAATCTAATTGCCACCACCAATTTTTGATTCAGTAGCACTGAGTAGTAAATTTAAGAACATACAAAATGAAAATATTTTCTTAACATTTAGAAATTTTGTTATAAGTTAGTGTTTTGTGATTAATTTCCTAGAATATTCTATCACATTCTCTTTAAAATATTTTTTTCTGAGATGGAGTCTTGCTCTGTCACTCAGGCTGGATGCAGTGGTGCAATCTCAGCTCACTGCAACCTCTGCCTCCTGGGTTCTAGTGATTCTCCTGTCTCAGCCTCCCGAGCAGCTAGGACTACAGGCGTGCACCACCACATCCAGCTAATTTCTGTATTTTCAGTAGAGACAGGGTTTTGACATTGTTGACCAGTCTGGTCTCGAACTCCTGACCTCAGGTGATCTACCTACCTCGGCCTCTCAGAGTGCTGGCATTACCGGCATGAGCCACTGTGCGTGGCCTGCATTCTCTTTACTGAGAAAATTACTAGGTTGGTAATTGGAGAATATGAGCAAGATTCATGTTATTTATTTTTAATAAAACAGGTATTGCTGTGTCTAATTTAGACCTGATCACCTGTCTGGAGCAAGGAAAAGAGCCCTGGAATATGAAGAGACACGAGATGGTAGCCAAACCCCCAGGTAGGTGAGAGCGATTATAACAGACGACACAGATGAGAGGTCCAAAGGTGAAAAAGAAAGCCAGTCCATAAAATGTGACTTGGAAATCTGTGTTCCAAAGGAAATAGTTTCTAGGCAGACTTTTTTTTTTTTTTTTTTTTTTTACTTCAACATAGGGGCATCTTCTGTCTTATGCTGATTCTTTAAAAATTCTACTTTCCCTTCAGTGATCTTCCTTCAAGTTTACAGTGAGCTAAAGTCCTCTTCATGGCATATAAGAAATTGCACAATCTGACTTTTTTTTTCCATTGTTTTTGGAGACTCAGAAATATCTGCATAATTTTGAGAAACTCTGTGTTACACTATTTTGTAAGTTCTCTTTTTGCATCGTGTCTGAAATGTGTAAGAGTTGTGGTTTCTGTTCCATTTTTTTTTTTTTTGTTTATTTTTCTGCACATTTCATCCTGTTTGTATTACTACAGGCTTGAAATATAGTTTGAAATTAAGAAGTGTGATGTTCTGCTTTGTTTTTATTCCTCATGATTGCTTTGACTATTCAAAGTTTCTTGTAGTTTTGGCTGGGTGCAGTGGCTCACAGCTATAATCCTATCACTTTGGGAGGCTGAGGCAGAAGGATCCCTTGAGCCCAGGAGTTGGATACCAACCTGGGCAACATAAGGAGACCCTGTCTCTTAAAAAGATTTATTGGCCTGGGCATGGTGGCTCACGCCTGTAACCCAGCACTTTGGGAGGCCGAGGTGGGTGGATCACCTGAGGTCAGGAGTTCAAGACCAGCCTGACCAACATGGTGAAGCCTCGTCTCTACTAAGAATACAAAACATTACCAGGCATGGTGGTGCTGCCTGTAATCCTCAGCACTCCGGAGGCTGGGGGAGAGAATTGCTTGAAACCGGGGGAGGCAGAGGTTGCGTGCAAGCTGAGATTTGTGCCACTGATAATCCAGCCTTAGCAATAAGAGGTGAAATTCATCTCAAGAAAAAAAAACAAAAAATGGGTTTATTTTAGGTTGTCATGTAGGAATTTAGGATGTTTTTCAATGTGTACTGTGAAAAAACGAATGCACCTGGAATTTTGGTAGGGAAGTTTCTTGGAATCTATAGATCAGCTTTGGATAATATGGTAGGCGTTGTACATCAAGGGGTACTTATCATTCTGTTAAAGTCCATAGATACTTCAAATTTTCAAGCTTCATTGAATTTTTTCATCTAACATTTCTTCATTGAAATCTTTTATCTTTAATTGTAAAGATTTTTTTTCACTTTCTTGGGTCAATTTGTTCTCAGAAATACATTATTTTAATGCTATTGTAAATCATATTGTTTTCTTTGTTTTAGACAATTTCGATTTATGAAACCATAACTTGTATGTTGATTTTATATTTGGTAATTTACTGAGTGTATTTATTAATTTAGATAGGTTTTAATGTACTGTTTATGTATTTTTATATATAAGATTTTATGATCTACAAACAGAAACATTTTACTTAGTTGTCTTCAATTTCAATGGGTTTTTTATTTTTTGACTAATTCTTCTGCCACATACTTTCAGTGTTATGTTAAAAGAGAAGCATTAACAAGTGGGCACAATATAGTTTGGCATTGGTGTCTGTAAATTTGAAAATGCAAATACCTCTTCAAGTTTTTATAAACTGATTTCAGAAGGTAAAGTTGTTTTTTTTTTTTTCCCGAGACTAAGTCTCGCTCTGTCACCCAGGCTGTAGCGCAGTCGCATGGTCTCGGCTCACTGCAACCTCCGCCTCCCGGGTTCAAGTGATTCTCCTGCCTCAGCCTCCCGAGTAGCTGGGATTACAGGCGTGGGCCACCATGTCCGGTTAATTTCTGTATTTTCAGTAGAGACAGGGTTTTGACACTCACAATGTTGTAGGCATTTTTTTGAGACATTTGAGGATGTCCAGAGCAGAATTGTATCAGGCTGACAAGAGTGGTTAATTCTGCTTTTGTCTC